TTTGTCGCATAATGTTGGCTCAAATGGATAATTTGTTTCTAAGCTTCGCTGTGATCCATAAAAAAATAATAATAATAAATTTTATTATTTTAGTTTGTCAATCACAACAATGAACCAACGGCTCAGATTCCATCATCATTATTTTCAAAAGACAAAAAATCAAATTCTTTTTATTATTATTTTCTTAATCTTACCACATTGGTTTTTCTGATTTTAAATTCGAAATTCAAATGTTGGGTTCCAAGGGTGTATCTGTAATTCAAGATTTTCCATCGTTTCAGTTACACTCCAGTTCGATATTGCAGCAAAATTTAATGCCTCAATTCTCTCAATTTGGAAAAATCTGGCTGTAATTTTCCAGTATAAATGAAAACCAAGCACCATCAAGCGTTCAAATTCAAATCAATTAATTCTCAAAAACTAAATATATTAGAATCTATTAAGTGGGTTTTCATCTTTCTTTCTTTTTTTCCCTTTTTTTTCCCACAAAATTAAAGATCAGTTTGGTTCTCTCTTTTCTTCTTTATATATATATGTACTCTTTTAAGAACAATTTCTCTTCTCTTTGCCTTTTGAGTTCTACAGATTTTGTTGCTCCTTGATTCTTGAAAAGTAGAAGAAGAAGGAAATAGATTCTTACGGCGTTTTGCGAAACAGGCCTTTGTTTTGAAGCTCTCAGTTCTTCTCTGATCGTTTTCTCATCAGATTTGGTACTTTTTCTTTACTTTTCTTCTGCTCTCAGTTTATGAACACTCATATTTGTTCTCAAATTCACTTTTTCAAGATTTTCCCTTGGTTTAATCCCGAGAATTTCAAAGAAGTAGATCCGGCTGTGTGCGTGTGTGTGTTTTTTTTATATGGAAAGAGCATAAATTTTTGAAGACAGTAATTATGATGTTTGAATGCGAAAATGATTTTTGCCATATTTGATGAAACCGTTCCATTTGTGAAATCAATTCGTTTTTTGAAGAATGAATCTTCAAATTTGTGTGTCTGAAACTGTTCGAAGAAAGTTGTTTGAAGGATTTGAATTGTATATTTGAACTTTGGTGGTTTTTTTTTTTTGCTTTTATTCTGTGAATATGTTGTGGTTATTTTCTTAGATTTTTGAGTTTGGTTTCAGTGTTTTAAATGCATAATGGAGTTCTTTTCGGAGTACACAAAAATTGTATACAGTCGAATTCAAAAGATAGAACCAGAGAATGTTACGAAGATCATTGGATGTCTGCTTCTTCATGATCACTGTGATCAAGAAATGGCTCGCTTGGCTATGGGGCCTGACCAATTTCTCCATGAAGTTATATTCATAGCCAAGACCGAGCTGCAACAATTGTCGATCAAAGCTTCGAACCCGAACCCGGGCGGTTTTGCTGCTCGTAGGCACTTTCCTTCTTGGGACCAACATCTTAGTCCTAACAAACGTAGCCATGATTTCATACCATTAGGCTACCCTGATGCTGCAGCTATGTTTGAACTCCAAAACCAGGCTCAGTTCTTGAGTTTAGAGGACCATATCGACCCGCTTGGCTCCGCAATCTCTGGCTTCCCGACCGATGTTGGCTACCCCGACAGCAATTCAATGCTCAGCAACTTGAGTACTAGGAACAGCAGCCGCCATTTCTTGACTGTTCCTGAGTTTCAGCCTAAGACATGTCACTATTATAACAAAGGATTTTGCAAGCATGGAAATAGTTGTAGGTACATTCATGGCAGCCTCAATCCTGAGAGCTTTTCTCAGATGTATAACTCCAATTCTGTCAATGATGATCAAGTGTTTTTGGCCGGGTCGCTCAAGACCTTGGAGATGGAAATAGTCGATCTTCTTAAGTCAAGAAGAGGCACTCCTATTTCAATTGCTTCCCTGCCTATGATTTACTATGAAAAGTATGGAAAAGTTCTTCAGGCAGAAGGATACCTCACTGAGAGCCAGAGGCATGGCAAATCAGGCTATAGCTTGACCAAACTCCTTGCTCGCTTGAAAAGCAGCATTCGGCTAATCGATCGGTATGGTTTAGAGATATCGAAACATCAAAACAAGCTTTGTTTTTGGTAAACTTTTTATATTCCTGACTTTGGTGGTTTGTATGCCATTCAGACCTCATGGGCAACACGCAGTCATTTTGGCTGAGGATGCTCCAAAATTCATGGACAATCGAAGCGACAAGAATGACCCCGGACCGATCGTTAGCGGGTCACGACAGATATATCTGACATTTCCAGCTGAGAGTACCTTTACTGAAGATGATGTTTCCGACTACTTCAGGTAAATGCCATTTCAAAACTGTTGAGTGTTGTTTTACAGGCTTCCTTTGATACAATTCTTATTGTGTTTTGTTTCACATATCTTTCTTGTTGTAGCTCCTTTGGAATGGTTGAAGATGTAAGGATTCCCTGCCAACAAAAAAGGATGTTTGGGTTCGTGACGTTCAGCAGTGCTGATACTGTGAAAACAATCCTGACAAAGGGCAACCCGCATTATATTTGCGGAGCTCGTGTTCTTGTTAAACCTTACAGGGAAAAGTCGAAGCTTTTCGACAGGTTCCCTACTGTGTTTTCTATGCCATTCCTCTGCTTTTTCCTTCAGCATTTACCTGTTTCACTTTAGTCTCTCTCATTTCGATGCCAGGAAGTACCAAGATAGAATTGAGCAGCAAGTTTATTATTCTTCGCACTACGCAGACATCGATTCCGAGCTTCACTCGTCGAGTAAGCAGTAGGATTGTGGCAGAACCATTATTTAAGCTTGTTGGTTTTTGGTTTGTTTTCTTACACAATGCTTCTAGTTCCAAGAGGATATGATGCGGCCAGAATGCTGAGGATGGAAGAACAAGAACAGCAAGCAATCGCACTCGAACTCGAGAGGAGGCATCTCTTGGGGCTCAGCTCGATCCGAAAATCCGTAATCAATCAGCCGTACTTTAGCTATTTGATGGACGAACTAAAAGTTCCAGAAGGTAATCAATCCCCTTTCAGATCTCCATGTTTTCAATTCTGTTAACAATTTCAAGTGATTTTAACTTGTGTGCAGATCATTTCAATTTCCCAACTACACAAAGGCTGAACTATCTGATGGATGTCATAAAAATTGGCTCTACTAGTGAGGATCATAATCGGCCCCGGAACAACACGGACTCGAATCGCAGCGACGATAGGTAGGCCAAAGTAGGAAACAAATTCTCGACTCGAAACTTGGTTGATTTTTGTTTGTTGTTTGTTGTTTGAAGCAGCAGTCAAGGATTAAATCTACCAGACAGCCCATTTGCATCTCCAATAGAGGATGACATATCCACACTGATATAGGTTTATCAAACAAAACCAGCAGCTCAGCTTACAATACAGTAGAAGCATTTTTATATAGTTGAAAAACAACTGATTCAAAGGCAATTTTTACCTCTACCATTTGATTGATTCATCACATTCTCGGCCTCTTTTTCGCCCTGCCTCGACTCCCCGCCCGAGTATATACATTGACGACAGCTTAAGATCGAGAAAGAGTTCTCGAATTTACGAGTTTGAAAGTAGTAAAGAGATGGATGTAATAATGCCTAGAAGTTACATGTAAGAAGATTCTAAGGTTTCTTATTTTCTTATTTTTTATTTTTATTTTTTTTACTTCAGTTGTTTACAGAAGAAGAGAGATTTCTTTCTGGTTTTAGATTAGGGAATATAGGGAGGGTCTTGTTTTTTCTTTCTTTGTTTTAGATGGAAGAAGGAACCACAATACATGCAATCTCTTTGAAAGATTGTGAAATGTTTTTTAGAATCTTCATGCAAAAATATGCCATTTTGAGGCACAGATGATATTAGAACTRATAAAAAAGGGAGGTTGTTTGGCAGCTTTTTATGTGTTAATTCAACTTGTCTGTATTTTTTTCTATTTATTGTCTGTTTTAGATTATTTTTAAGGTTGATCTTGGACCTTTTTATTATAAGATAGGTGGGAAATCATGAGATTTATTTAATGCACTTTTTTTCCATATTTTTCTTAATAACGTTAGGTACATTTTGGAATTAAAAGAAAAATTCAGGTTTAAAAATATGATTAAATTAAGTAGCGGGGCATTTTGGTATTGAAGGTCTCATCCTAATATTTGTTGTACTCAAAAACAATTTTAGTGTAAAAATTATTCCTAAAATTCAATTCTAAAGAATCATATTGAGATGGTCTAGTGGTCAATCTAAATAGTAAAGGATTTAGAGGGAGTTCAAACAATTTTGTCAACTAAATGTAGGTTAAGTAGGTGCACGAATTAAAAAAAAAAAAACTTAGCTTGCGATGAAAATGATAGGTGACATTTGAATGGATAATCATGCTCTTCTCATATTATTGATTGACTGCAAAACTTCAACCCCCATTTATTATTGAAGTGAGCATGCTAATCTATCAATAGTAATTTCTATTATTAAAAATGAAAATCAATAGCAATTTTGATTTTTTTTTTTGTGAGTATGAGTAATTTAGAAACTAATTAATTAGACAATATCTCAAGTTAAAAATTATAAATAATGCTTTTTTTTTTATAAAACATTTAAAGCAAAGCATACATGTTTTCTAAAAAAAATATTAAAGGATTTTACAAAAATAATATAAAAAAATCAGAAAAAGAGTGAATTAATTGGGTTTTTTATTTTATTTGGACAGTTGTGGAGGTCATTGATCCACCTGCTAGTGTCTCTTCGAACATGCCAGGTATAATTGATCAGGCTTGGCTGTCAAAAACCATAATCCAACAGTTAATATTGACTGGCATTTATCATGTCTAGTCATTCAAATGATTAGCTAACACATCCCGTCAACGTGAATATGCTCTCATATCCACACCTATATAAAGAAACAAGTAAGGTAAAAAAACCATACTAATTTTGTAATACGTTCCTATACAAAAAAAGGTTTTTTTTGTTCTTTTAGTTTGCATTTGTTAAGCTTAGTTTTGTTCTAGGTTAGTTGTTGGGATGTTTGCTGTTCGGAATGTATATATAAGTTGTGTTTTTGCATAGGTTTAAAGTTCAAGCTTGCATACTTCTTTGTTCTAACTACTAGTTTGTCTTTAACTTCTTCAATGCATCTGTTCTAAACTCTCAACATGTTCAAAATGCTTTCCTTTGTTCTTTGTTTTTGTATCATGTCGATGAARATTCTTAAATGCGTGAATAGGTTAGATTTCTTAGTTTTATGATCAAGCCATAAATCATTTTCCATTTTTTTTGTTTTGGGTATAAACTTTGTTAATTTCTTGTCCTTTTTGTGCCAAAATTTTGCATCTTTCAAAATTTCCTTCCCCAGTGAGGACACGGTTTCCCGTTTGGGGGAACAATGTGTGTCTTTTTGTTTTAAGAAAGAAAATGTTGTTTACGTTTGTAAAAAGAGTTAGAAAGAAAATGCAAGCAATAAAAGAGTCTTAATGCAAAAAAGAGTCTATGCAAGAAAATTTTTCGAAAAAAGAGTATGAAAAAAGAGTTCAAAAGAAAAAAAAAAACAAGTAAAATAAGAGTATTGAGAGAAAATAAGAGTGAGGGAAAGAAAAATAAAAGTGAGAGTAGAATAAGAGTGGTAAAAAACACGAGAGGCAAGAAAACACATCTACTTTTTCGGGAGTCCCCACTATAGACATTCGTTTTCTTTAAATGGGTGGTGTTAGCATCTTGGAGGGTAGTAGCCTACATATCAAGGTGGCTTCGAGAAAATTATTGTCGACATCATTTTATGCCGGGTTGCTACCTAGCAAGTCTCTATGAGTGGCTGTGGTTGGAAACCGATGTTAGTGTGTGGAAAACTTCAGAGGCTAGTAGCTGGTCCATGTGTCTTCTTGATGTAAAACTTTTTGAATCAAAATAGAAGTGTGCATATTTCTTGGTTTTGTAAAAACGTTTTGTGTTTTAGAAAAGAAGGAGATTTAGAATCATTTTTATTTCAAAACAAACAATGGTTTATAGTTTGTTGGCTTGAGATTAAAGTTAGGATGTCTGTGGAGCCTTTCCTGAGACGTATATGATAAGCAAATGGTTAAGTTTGGGGGTGTGTTAGGGTTGACTTTTTACTACAGAAACAATGTCGGTAAGCTTGTTTGACCATGATTTTGACTTCTTTTCCATCATTATTTGTAAAAAAGGATTACATTAAAGTAGAACATGCATATAACATTTCTGCATAAAAGTTATACTATGGTACTTTAGGAAAAATATGAGAAAAATTGGGTCAAAGTTGGAAGAAAATAATAGCTTTCTATTTTGCAGGAATTGCGCCTATCGCAATTTTGGACACCAACTTACCAAAATGTGTGTTTTGATTAATGAAGGATAAAGAGGACATTTCCCATGTGTTTGAATCAAAGCTATAACCCTGAGCCTAAATCAAATGGGAGTGGTTAGGTGTATCTTAACTGATTTCCACCTAAAATGGTGGAAAGTTCAACAACTCCAAGGGCCTCCATAAGAAAGTCATTCTTCCAGTAGCAAATCTATCAAACTCATTTTCAACTTCATTTACTTTCTCCTTCGTTGTAGAACTCGTTCTTAGGCTTTAGATTTATATTTTAGTTGTTATTTCCTCGTATTTTCATACTTTTGCTTACCGTATTGCTTTTAATTCAAGTTCTACCTTTGGTTCTGCATTTATTTTTCTCTTCTCAGGTTCTTTAGCGAGTTTATACTCCCCTCATGCTTGAGAAAAAAAAAAGGTCAAGCTAGAACTCATTGTACGGCTCGTTTATTCATTTTAATTCAATGAAAAATACTTCTTTTTATGTTTTCGTGCATTTGCTTTCCTTTAATAATGTTCTAATTAGTTATCAACCTCTTTGTGGAATGCTTTAGTCAAAATGATTTCATTTTCAACACGCTCGGGATTTGCCTAGATTTGCCCAGAATTGCGCCTGACACCTTTTTGGGTTGGTTTTTAAAAACTTTTCTTTACGTCTTTTTTTCATTTGGCCAGTGGGAACTTGATTTATACACTAAAGTCCAACCCTAAGAAGGGTGAGTAAAGTAAAATAATAGGAAACCAACATGTGATGTAACTTAGACATAAATGCATAAAATATGGTCCTAAACATAGGCCCTCTGACCCATAATGCAAATGAGTTGATAAATATTCTCTAGGATTGTAATAACACATAGACATATGATTGTAGGTTATCCAAGCCTCTGCATCAACCAAAAGCGGTAGTGAAAGAGTAGAACTCAGTTTCCCAAGAAGAGCTAGAATTGCACCTGGCACATTTTCCCAACAGAGTGTATTTCCCCTGTTTTGCATCAAAACTAAGGTAGGAAACAAAGAGGTTGAGTTTTATTAAATTTCTTGATAGTTAAAACCCCAAATAACAACATTTCATCACTATTTTCTTCATAAAACGCAATTGCATATTTGAACCACTCACTTTATTAAACTATTTTGAAAAGCAACGAGTCCCTGAGGATTCGACCTTGGATTACTCCCAAGTATTACTTGTGATCGTGTGCGCTTGCACGAGTCTCTAATCTTTTTAAGGTAGAGAAAGTCCCAACAGCTAGCGTTTTGTTCTTTCGATTCCTTATGATTTGAATCTCTAGAACAAACTGAGCGTCTCCCAAATCTTTTATTTGGAATTCAGTTGCCAGCCACTTCTTAATGTCAGTTAGGAAACCTACATCATTCCCAATGAGTAGGATATCATCCACATACAACACCAAGAAAGATACAGTGTTGTTGATGATCTTCTTGTATACACAAGGTTCATCAACATTATGGTCAAAACCGTAAGACTTGATCGCAGTATCAAATCTTATATTCCAAGATTTAGATGCTTATTTTAAACCATAAATGGATCGTTTAAGCTTGCAAACCTTTTGCTCTTGACCTTACTTAATGAACCCTTCTGGTTGAGACATATAAATACTATCTTCAAGATTGCCATTCAGAAAAACATTCTTGACATCCATTTATCAAATTTCATAGTCATAAAATGTAGCATTGGACAAGAGTATTTATTTTATGGTCTAGTCTTATATAAACTCATTACATAGGATACCTCCACTCTCATTTCTCCACAAGAACGACCTAGAACAAGTTATTTGTAACTATTATAAAGTGGGTCGTATCCATAGTTTTACCAGGATAAGGTACCCAACCTTATCCATATACTATATACTCTTTAGGTTACTATTGGAACATTATCTACCTGTATATCGAATATATACTGTATGTATATACACTGTATATCAAATATATACGTTGTATATTAAATATATACTGTATATCTGTTATATATTGTTCCAATTACATGACATAACCTCGGATGTTAGTTTATTGGATTTCGGATACTACATTAATAACAACTTTATTGAATGAATATTTGTTTTATGTTTACAAACCATGAGTTTATGGCATAAACCCAACAACAGTGCATTATCGACAACCAGTTCTCGTGGATATTTGGTGAGGTTTTGATTCCTGTAATCTTATGATTTTTATGTTGTAGTTCCTAGAAGTTAGTATGCCTTTGGTGAGGCACTAGAGAGAGATTATCTTAACAAATATTGTATTGTTAATTGTATTTATCCTAGAATAATACTAGAACTCATTATCGTGGAAGACTAGATGTAAACCATAGTTCGGTGAACTAGTACAAATTGCTTGTGTCGTTTAGTGTGTTTTCCATATATTTCTCTTATTATTGTGGTTGGCTTAGTTTTTTCACTGACGAACTGTGGAAGGGGAAAAGTTAATTGGTAAGCAATTTTCCTAATAAGTGGTACAAGAGATGTAGGTGTTCAACATCATGGCATCCTGTGGAAAGACTAACTTCGAGGGGTTTATGAGATTTAACGGGAAAAATTTTCGGTTTTGGAAGATGCAAGTATCTCATATATAAGAAGATGCACAATATCCTAAAAGAACAACAGGTTGGGATGACACATAAAGAATGGGCAGAGATGTGTGACACTATCATTAAGTCATTGCAATCTATAAGACCATGAGTGTGGTGTGATGACTAACTTCAATCTTTCAACTATGTCGATACTATGCTACATTAGTACAACTCCTACTACAATTAATGATACTACAAGAGGTGGAGTTTACTATGTACCTAAGGGATGTTCCTTATATCGGACATTGAGGGTCCTCCTAGCAACTAGGGCTACGCTTTGGACATCCTCTCCTTCATGCTACTATCCCTTTCCTCTTCCTCAATTTCTTCCTCGTCATTTTTTACTAGCTTTCCATCTCTTTGGGCAATCTCTACTCATGTAACCTACACCATGACACTTCCAATATTTAATCTCTCTTGTCTTAAGTGGGGGCTTTTGGGTTGGGACTTTTGTTTGGTGGAGACTCAATTTTTCTTAAACTTGTCTACATAGACAAGTTTAGGTTTGGACTCCAAGGGTTTGCTATCTTTTTCCAACTAGAATTAGACTTAGAAGTAGCTTTTGGGGTAGCTTTTGGCTTTCTTTTATGGTTTTTCTCCTCAATTTTTTTTACGGCAAGATGTATTAGCTCATCTCCACATCTTTATAAGGTTGCAAGTCTACCTTTTGGCAATGCCCAGATTGAGTCCATCAAAGAATCTAGACATCGTGGTCTCCTCATATTCTTCTAATGTGCAAGCGGTTCATGGTCATCTCCATCTCTTTGTATAGTAATTTTCAATACGTTTGGTTCCTTGGTAGAGCTTGTTGACTTGTTTGGCAGTAGTTCTTTAGTAGTGTTGAAGCACAAATCTCTTCTTCATGAGCTCCTTGAACACAATCCAAGATTCTACATGTCCTTTGTAGTTTCTTCTCCTATAATACATTACTTTATCTCACCAAGTTAATTAGTGTAAAAATCTTAAAAGTGAAGTGATAACAAGAGTTGCCTTCTTTCCATCATCATGGTTGTGAAATGCAAATACTAGCATTATCTCATTCTCACATGTCTTATACTCCCTAGGTCTAGATTTCCCATGGAATGTTGGTAGCTTGTAATGGTCTCTTCTTAGCTTCTCATGTATACTATTAATATTAGTACTTGTTTGAATCTCAATTTTATAATATTTGCAATAACTTGTCTTCATGGAATCGACCTTGGTTTACCAATTACTGTACCTACAATTGCATATGCTTGTGTATTGAGTTTTTCACCTCATAAGAACAAGAAAGTTGAAAATTACCTTGAATGGAGTCTCAAAATCAGCCATGAAAGGAGTTTTAAGAAGTTACTAATTACCCAACTTAATTTTATGTTAAGGTTTCATTTGGGGTTGGTGTGAGAGAGTCCATTTGGACTTTATATTGGGCTCAGCCTCAAACAATCTTTTCTAAAGGCCTCTTCTCCCCCTCACACGTACAAAAGAAGAAATTTGGATCTCCTTCATACGCCACTTCCTCTCTCTCCCTTTCTCCATTGTCGACTCCACAAATATTTGGTTCCTATGAAAGTATAAGTTCGAACCTTTTTTTTTTTTGGTTAAAACTTTCAATTGAAATCGTATCATCAACCCACAATTTCTCCAATCAAACCAATCACAACCTCAGCAGAACTACTATATTTTACCAAAAACTTTAACCAAGTACCCACTTTTTTTATAAATGCTTTAAAAAGTACAGTAATTTTAAATTATTATTTAGATATATAATATTGATTTGAAAAATCTCTACACTAGGAGACGAGGGATTGAACCACCAACTTATAAAAAATGAGTAAGATATTTGAACTGTTGAACTATATTCAGGATGACATATATACATTATTGGGAGATTAAGCCTCTAACAATTTTCCCTTCCACATTTATATCTAGTAAATTAAAAGCAATCACACACAATAAGAGATTAAAGGGAAATCAATAACAACATAAAGAATTTTATACTGGTTCACCCAACAATGGCTACGTCCATCTTCCGCTGAGATGCGAGTTTTACTAATATGACATTGGTACAACTGCTCACAAATATCTCCCCATATATTCATCCTCTACAAGTTCCAACGAAAACCCTCTAGCTTCTAATTAGTATTATAACACACTATAATTACGTACATGAATGATAAACTCAGATCTAATTACCTCGAATATGTCTATTTTGATCTGTCTCAATGTTGCTGTCAATACCTTGAGCCGCCGCCTCAAAAACTCACTCAAATTAATATTTTGAGCTGCTAAACCCTGAAACACGAAAAACTGCTTTTAAATAAGTTGCAAAAGTGTCATGGCACTATGGACGGAAAACATCCGTGTGCACCACATCACGACAGCACTGCGATGTTGTCCCTTAGCACCAGGGGCACTCTATAGCAGCACTGCAACACTGCTTCCTCGACTCCTCTGGCTTGCAGTTTCGCTTCTTCCACTATTTTTCATCTTTCTTCGTCCCGACTCGATCTTGATTCGTTCCGATGTCGATTTCGCTCGACCAATCCCAACATATATACACATATATCTATGAATATATAATTGTTTAAACTATAGAACTGCCAGAAGTCCCGTGAAGCTTGCATAAACAATAGATTTGATGAAGGCATCTAGAGACCGCATGAAACGGGTCTTCATTCCTTATGGGCTGAAGTTGAACATTCTCGTTCGTGACGAACAAGCCATGGTAAATGAACTTAAAATTTTTTATCAATGAACTCAAAGACCATGAGAAGCGAGATCTAGTTAGAAACCGACCACCCACCTTGAGTTAAGGATGCTACCACCAAAGATCCACTTTTCCTTTAATTTCTTTTGTTTTGCTTTGAAAACTCTTCAATAACCTAAAAGAATAGGTAAAAAAGAATTAAAGATATTTCACATTTTGATGAAGTGAGTGGTGAACATGGGACGACGTGTCGCATCTGAGAACGGCTCATTTAATTGCCCCTCCCTTCTCCAAACTCCAAACTCCAAACTCCAAATTTCAGCAATGGAAGCTTTAGCCCCAATCTCCAACTCTCTCTTCCGATTCACAAAACCTTTAAATTCGATCCCAAATCGGAGACCAAAAACCACGATTGCCGCCATAAACGACGCCGCTTCGCAGCAGCAAGCTGATCCCTCCCAACTCCAGATTACTTGGCAAATAGCCGTCGGCGCCATTGGTAAAATCGCCAATCTTCCAATTCAATACTCTCTATTGCTTTTGTTTTCATTTTGTATCCTATATATGTTGCAGCTGGAGTAACCCCGTTTGTGGTGGCCGGAATTGAGTTCACCAAGAGAATTGTGAGTTTACCAATTCCAAATTGCAAACTAAATTCCGCATTAACTAACAAATTAGAACATCTAGGAAACTCGAAAAGCTTCAGTTCGATAGAGATATTGTTGTTAAGTATCTCACGATACAGATAAAAGTGGATTTCCTTTCGTTACTAATTGGTTTGAGGTACAACTTTTAATATGATATTCGAACCAAAAAATAAGGTCCAACCAAAATCGATGAAGTTGAAGAATCATGATCTTAAGTGGGCAGGTGGCACAGCAAAGATGTGAAGAATGTGGAGGTTCGGGGCTTGTTCTTATGGAGGACGACTACTTCCGTTGCCCACAATGCGGTATTAATAGTGACTTTCGAGTATTTAGGGATGATTTTTTACGTCAAAAGTTGCCTTGGTTTTTTACATTTGTGAGTTTTGGGCAGGTGGGTTTTTGCCTTGGCAGTCATGGAAGCGATTCTTTTGGGGCTAAACATCTAAAAAAACAACAAAAAGCACTTCATTTAAGCACTTCTATTCCTTGATTGTATTACATGTAATTATGGTACTAAAGATGTGTTTACATAAATTAAATGCTCAATCAAATGGAATGGTAACATATTGCTCATTGGTYTGTAATTGTTACAGCCCTAAACTGTGAATATCCTACCACTTTTAAACTTATGGGTTTACAGAGTGTTTAATATGATATAAGAATAGGAGGTGATCCAATTCTATAATGTTATTTTTTTTTGAATTAATATTCATATTCAATTTTGAGTCTGGAGCTACTTAGCTCACAGCAGAAGAAACCTCATGTTAATATGCCAATGCACAATTCACCGAGTTAAGACAAGACATATGTATCAAATCATAAGATTGAGAATTCAAATTTTCACTCCCACATGTTGTATTAAAAAAAAACAGTCTAATTAAGTTTTATTTTTTATTTTTTATTTTTATTTTAGTTTAATAGTATAGCATGCAACTTATTATTTAAGGTTAAATTACAAGTTTAGTCCTTAAACTTTTTCTCTATTATATCTAATAGATTTTATAACTTAGCTAATATGTCTCAAAACCTAATTTAATATTTTGTGTCTAATATATCCTTAAACTCTAAAAAACATCTCTAAATCTCTTAAATCAATTTTGTATCTAATAAATTCTCACCCATTACATTTTTTTTTCTTTTTAAATTCAAGACCCATGAGACACATAAATTTGAATTTTTTGTTTAATAGGTCTCTATCTTTTTAATTTTCCATCTAATTGGTACTTAACTTCTTTTTTTTTTTTTAATTTTTGTATGTTAGTGACCTATTAGACACAATATTTTCACAACTTATTAGATACTTTTTAAAGTTGGATGAAAGTTTAGGAATTTTATTATACACTTTTTTAAATTTAGGAATTTGTTAGACAAAAATAAAAATGTTTTGGACCAAATATATACTTTATTTGTCAGCTAGTAAATCTCTTAATGCGGGCCATTTTGTTATTTTCTCAGTCAGATGTGCAAACTCAAGCTTGTTGAGTGGGGCAAAGCTAAGCCATCTCAATTTTGAAAGTGTTTTTTTTTTGTTTTTTTATATCCGTGAGTGTCAGAGCTATCTTGCACGCACCTATACTAATCTTACAGGACAATCGTCCTGTCCAACCCTAGTACATTTGGTTGTTAATGAAACAAATATGAAATTAGTTCATAGGTAGGTAATGATCATGGAGTTTGAACTCATTTCCTCTAAATCGTTTTGATTTACCTTGGTCGATTTGGACCAATGAGCAACTTGTTAGCACCTTATCTTGAGAAATGTGAAATGGTTTGTAGGGCCTTACACGAGCCAATTTCAAAGTGATGGGGCGGCACATCACTCAAACAACAAAATAAGGTTCGGTATATCATGTGTAGGCAAGCACGATGTGGGATTTTCGATCGAATTTTCAACGTGCTAGGAGAGCTTATTGATAATTTGGGTCTGCTTTTTAGCCCACTCTTTTTTTG